TAGTATGTTATTTAACACACTGCCTTAGTATGTTCATATCACTGCAACGACAGGGCTCCTATCGTTATCCATTCGCTAACATACATTATTCCACAACCCTGACAATTCTTATGTACCAGTATGCTCTTCGTGGTTTCGAAGAGCCATTTGCTACATTCAAATCCCCACATGGTGCATCTGGTCGATCAAGAGCATAGCGCATGGTCAAAAGTAGGCAGATAAAAGACCAACTCTTTGGAAGTGTCGTCGTCCAACCCTCTGTTACCATAATCCAAGTGCTGTGGCTTGGTAACTTGTTGCTCGACTTAAACTTACAACCCAACTCGTGATGGGACCAGAGTTACTGCCTGGAGAACTTGATCAGCGTATGTATGTGCTTGGAAACCACATGCTCGACAAACAGTCCACATACGAAACAATTCATTGTGATTCTGGGAGCCGGAACTCGGAAATCACCTTGCCTGAGGTGCAAGTCATTGCGGTATGGTTAGTAATGCTCCCCGTCATCATCCTTATCCTCACAATATCCAAGAAGGGCTTGGTCTACTTTACATATCGTTGAACCTGGCCTCCTAGAAGCTTCAGTCCCTGCAGCCGCCCTTGCTCCCGGTCGACAAGGATGGCATGGTGGACATGCTGGCTTGAGCACTCGCATGTTCTGCACAGCGGCTATGTAGCTGCAAGTCTAAAGGCTGACCAATTAAAAATGCATTATCATCGGGAAGAACAAACATGGGCCCCTGTTGGGACGTTTCAAACCCTACCAGCCGTCCTCAGGCCCGCGTGTGAGCCTTTTGAGTCTAAGCGGCCATTGACTGGACTGCTCCAAGATGCCGTGGGGGAGCCTGGTCGCCAAGACTTAGCCAGTAAGTTGAGTCGCCACGTTTACCTTCTAGAGCCTTAGGGCGTCCACTACCTGGCACACCGGTGCGCGTTAGTCAGTCGTTGGTGGGGGATCCTGACTCTAGTCTACCCGTTCGTCGTGCTGTCAGATGCAGATGGCACAGTGGGAAGAGCAACTGGGGCCTGGGCTGTTGAGTGCTGACAAAAGTGCCCCACCGAGTTTGGCCATGTTGAAGACTGGCGATTTTCAGTTCCGAGGCTGACCTCCAGCCGAGAAACATGTCGGGAGCATTCAAGTTCTTGGAGGAGGCAGGGAAACTCACTGAGTCCCAACGCTTGAAGTTCCATGCAGTCTCCAAACGGTGAAGCAATTGCATACTACAAGCCATGTACGACGATTGTCGAGATTCTCTTGCGGCTAACTAGGAAGCTATGATGGCATTTTGTTCTGGCCCAGTCGCTATATCTCAATCCAATGATAGCTCACCACGTCTCTGGCACACCACCCACCGCCGCCACCAGCTCCTCAACGACCAGGACGCAACCTCGATAGACTCCGAGGTCATCAGATGAAGCTTTCAGATTGCTTGTCTGTCCTGTGTCCGCATCTTCTCGGTCATTGTCTCCCGACGGTCTCTGGACGTGCACATCGTGCAAGACCTGCTACCAATTTCTTGCCACAGTCCAGGGAATAATGCATCGTGAACTTAACCTGAAGTTTGTGACTTGCCTGCAATCACCAGAGCATGGCAATGGTGCTTTGAACGACTCCGGGATGTTTTGCCCAGTGCCATGGATGCTCACCCCGGCCTCCGGAGTTCGGGGCTTTGTCTACATACTGCCGCTGCGTTCTTAATCCCCAGATGCGATCTGGCAGCGCTTAGTGCGCTCCTGTAACTCTGCCTTGGAGCCGACCCTGTTGAGAGATCTGACCTATGCTTGCATACGCACCCAATTTCATGCTGCGAGTTCTCCATCATGTTGATGGAGTAGTAGGTCGCGGTCTTTCCAGGGACTGTGGACTCTGTCGTGTATGGTATCAAAATCATATTGACAAAGCCTTGAAGTACCGTCAGTTTTTTGCGCCCCGATAGTGGCTTTTTAGAGCCTAGTGTTACCCTCACCGCTATTCTCTGACCCAATTGAACCTTTCAGTGTGAGATGTACACTTGTACAGTACTGGCCTCTAACGCGACCCCCTTTGTGGTGGCCTTGGGCGTCAGTCAACAAGGGTGGCCTTGTTATGATAACGGCACGACTTGGCTGCCAGCTCACTTCAAGCTCCACAAGGCCATAACCAAACAGATCTCAAGGGAAGCCAAGCCATGATAGCATCGTTCCCTGTCAGCATCATGCTGGTTGGAGCTTGACGGGTAAGTAGCATGTATGTACTCCGCATCTGCTAGTGGTGGTCCACAAGGGCCTCAGTGAAAATCAGACTGAAAGAGTCTTGCGTGACACAGGCTGTCCTCATCGAGATATTGCAGGATCGCATCATGATCGTGGCTACCTGGGAAAGGTGCACGGCTTGGGGAAGGTCTCAGCCTCAGAACCACCTGGGGGCGATTCAGGGCTATTCAGAAATTATATCGACAACGGGAAAACATTGCATCGTGCCTGGTGCCTTCAATTGCATTGCGTGAAGAGACAATATCGCGATTCTATGTGCTGCCCACTCCGTTAGCCTTCCCGCACATCACATCAAGCAGCGGGGTGTTTGAGGGGTTGGAGGGACATGATGGCTATCCACCTGGCAGCTAATGTACGGAACGGGAAGCCTTCATGCATGCACGCGTACGTGCATGCAGGCCGGGCGACCGTGGTATTAATTCGTAATGTACGGATATGTGTTTCAACAGAGCACGAAAGATCCTGACAAGCCAAAGGGTATGGCCTATCTGCTAGGGACACATGGAGGTCGATGGGCAGAGGTGGCTGAGAAGCCAGGATGTCATATCTCCTGGCTTTGGCGGCCAAGGTCCTCAACGATGGTTTCCTGAGGGAGAGCCCCTGATCTGAGCAGCTTATTCACAGAAGCACATAGTTAATTCAGATGACAGGAACTTAATGAAGCAGACGGCTGCATCTCGTTTGTGTGTATGCATCTGCTGGGGCGGCCCATGTCAGCATGTCAGTCACTCCCGATCGAGGAAAAGGGACGAAAATAGCAGTGGGAGGATGGGTTTGATTCATTGTGCTCCTGGTCGAAGATGCTATTACCCTCCATGCCCATGTGATGCAAACCCTCAATCAAGCCAAAGTTATAGTACCAATGTACTGTGCAGATACCTCTTTGCCATACGCCAGATCACAATATCTCTGTTATTTCAGAGAGGGGTGCTGCAGGTATGTTATGCATACTGTAATGTACGTACAGATGATTGGAGGTGGTGCTTGAAATGCTGGTCTGGATTATTGGTGGCAAATGCTTTCGTTTGTTGAGCAAGGCAAAGAAAGGATAGTCTTTAGTCAACACCTCCACCTCGTCTTGGGTTGTATCGAGTTCCAAAGATCCTGGTCGAGCCGTCAAGCGATCGGTCTTTTGTGTTTAGCATTGTCCGAATCCATGAAGAATTTGAAGGTTGAGGCTTGGGGGCCAAGAGGGAGGAAGGGGCCTAGACAATCTAATATCTTTACGAAGGGGGAGGAAAGAGAAATTGGGTGGCCTAGGACTGTGACATGACATGAACATGAACATGGAATGGCCAGGGCTGGAGTCGCTGGTGCCTGTACGGAGTATGTATGTACGTAGAAGCAAACTCGGCGAGACGAGACGGGCCGTTCACCGGGTGGATGTTCAAGGCCGAGTTGCGAGAGGAACGGGCCTTTCAGACAAGGATCGATGTGATGAAGTTGAGGGTGACAGGGATACATGAGATGTGTTATGTGATTGACATGGCACCAACTGGTCCAGGCAATTCGTGTACCATGACAATGTATATTAGGTCTGGGCGCAAGGGTCAGAGGATGGTCAGAGGGCAACCGTGAGGGATTGGAGAGCTGAGACTGAGAGGGAGGGAATTGAATGGGATCGAGCCCGCATGTCAGATAGAGAGGCCTCAGCCAAAGTCCAGGCCTAAGCCCAAGCCCGGCCCTGACCCTGAGCTTGATCCTGAGCCTTGCATGACACACATACTTTTATCAAGGTGATAGATGAGAGTTGAGGTGACATGTTCAACTTAGCTTGCTTATTAGGTACTGTACGCACCTGGGTTGAGGTGGGCGCGCGGCTCTACCCGCCCGCTGCAGCGCGTGAGACAGGTTGCAAGCCGCGGATGCATTCTAACTACATAGCAGGCTTTGTCAGTAATGCCATGCCATGCCATATCCTGCTACTCTTGCCTGCCAGGAGGTCGCCTGCCTAGGTAACGGGGATTTTGGGTTTGGTTAATCAACATATCCTACTCCGTACCGCAGCAAACTATTGGCCGTTTCAGGTATATGGCCTACCAGGTTCATCGTGCACAGCACAGCACTAGTTGGAGCGATGCCCGTGATATTACATAGATCCAATGCACATCATGTTTGCAGCGGGCTTTGTTGGCATTCTCCTTCATCCAATGAGGGACTGGGTAATTCACTAGACTATGGTCTTTGCTCTCCCCTTCCGGGCTGGGCGGTGAGAACGGAATAAAGGGGTGTATCCTGTCATGTCAATTGAAGGTTTCGATGATGGCGAACAGACAATCTTCGTCCCCGTTCCCCTATTCTGACACCACAAATCCAACTAGTTCTGTCATGGCGGTGTCCAAAGTATACCGAAGTTGGAATCAAAATGGAATGGACAGCATGCTAAAACAAACACACCGTATAAAAGACACAGAGACGACATGCGATAATGTATTCAAATGTTAAATGATTTGATATCTCAACTACTGCTGAAGAGATATCAAAGTATAGGGTAAACAAACGTTTTCATAAGACTCATGTGACTACGCGTGTAGGTCCTGTACGAGCCAACAAGAAAGTCGTGGATACAGTAGTTAGTGACACGCGCCAGCGCCAAAAGCGGACACAACATGACACAAAGACAAGAAAATGACGGCAACGCACCCCCACAAGACAAAGAACGCTTCATCATCACATCACAACTCACTCAAAACTGGAAACGGTGATGTTAAGCCATAACCCTCCGTCATAAGCGAAAAGGAAAAGAAATGCCACGCCCTATACGAAAGGCCGCCGAGCCTCAACACGCTGCATCTTTTGACCCATGGAACTCATCGTCAACCGGCCACCAACGTCCGGAATCATGCCCCGGAACTGGCTGGCGCGAGTCCCGTAACCGCAAGCTCAACAGCCAATTTCGCAGTGGCTTATCCGGTGGAGAGCGTCTGAGCGACACATGGGGTGCTGGCTCAGAGGATTACGATGTGAAGCGCAAGATGTTGGTCCCCAAGGCCGTGAAGGAAAGGGCACAGCGGAGCGTAAAGGACATGCTCGTGCAACCAGGCAAGATGCGTGAGAGTCTGGGGGTGAAGGATGAGGCTCAGGGAAAAGGATATGAAGCACTTATGGAATCAAGAAAACTGGAGGACGAAGAGAGAGAAGCAGAGCTACCTCGCCGACGGATGTTTGATGGGGTGACTGTTTACGTTAACGGGAGTTGTTTCCCCCTCATATCAGATCTCAAGCTCAAGCAGCTTGTCACCGAGCACGGAGGTCAGATGTCACTGCACCTCGGTCGTCGGAAAGTCACCCATGTCATTCTAGGAAGGTCAGCTGGACGATACTCGGGTGCCGGACGAGGCCTTGCTGGAGGGAAACTAGAAAAGGAGATTAGCAGAACGGCTGGATGTGGAGTTAAGTTTGTTGGTGTTGAATGGTACCTGTAACTCTCATTTGTACTTGAGCTACGACTAATGCTATCGATAGGATCCTTGAAAGCCTGCAGGCTGGGAAAAGACTACCCGAAGCACGCTTCTCCAGTACCAAGATGGCACCCAAGGCACAGGGCAGCGTATATAGCCTCTTCTCGAGGCAGTCGAGTGGCCAGTCATCCAAGGACTGAGCTGTACTCACCGAGGAGCTATGTCTTTGTTTACCGGAGTCTAGGATGGGGGCCATAAGAAGTTTCGGCCACAACCTTACACCTATATCTCCGGTTACGAATGGTCAGACATCGGGGGGCCTTTTGCTTCAAGTAGACGGTCGGTAGCGTGGGACAGGATATCTGTGGTTACGGATGCGGCTGCGATATAGAATACTGGAGTCTGACACACCCTCGCGGGCAACGGAGGCTCGTCTCGAACTGGCTTCCTCTCAGCAACCATCCATTGTTAAGTAAGTAGATTGATTGTCAGAATATCGTGCGCGGCCCATCTGCCAACGTGAAATCGACGCTGGATGAAGAAACCAAGTCACTGTATCTTCCACCAATATCACACCACTCGTATTTACCAGAAAGATCCGTTATGTTCAGAAGGGCCGTTCATATTAAACCTGCTCTATAGGCGAGCCTTCACCATGCCATCCGTCTCAGTTTCTGCTCGTTCAAAGTACTCCCTGATCCTGGCGCGGGCAACAGTCAAAGTCGACACGTCTTCAATCGTGCTAGGAACCGCAACTTCCTTGTCAAAGTCACCACGAATGGCGTTCTCCACCATCTCCTTGAGGACCCGTCGTAGCATTTTGCCAGACCTTGTTTTGGGAATCATTCCTTTGCCCTGAATGATGCCGCCTAGTGAGGCTATAGCACCCACCTGGCCACGGACTAACTGCTGTATTTCCTTGGCGACTAGTTCACTCGGCGCTGCTGGATCTGCACAGCCTTGTCCCGAAAGTGCTACGAAGGCGAAAGGAAGCTGACCCTTGAGTGAGTCTGGTACGCCGACAATACAAGCTTCAACGACACGAGGATGAGCTGCAACAGCCTGCTCAATAGATCCTAAGCACTGTTAGCCCATACCAAAGTTGGAAGAAATACAAACGTACCGCTTGAGAGACGATGCGCGCTGACATTCAAAATATCGTCGCTGCGTGCCATCACATGGACATAACCTTGCTGGTCGATCCAGCCTGAATCACCGGTATCAAGCCACTTTCCCTGGAATCTTTTCAAGTAGCCTTTCCAAAAGCGTTCTTCTTCCTGCCACAGCGTGCGAAATCCTGTCGGAGCGAGAGGCATTGCCAAGACAATATTTCCCATGGATCCCCTCTCAACCTCATTGCCCTCATCATCCACAATACGAACATCAAAGCCAGGCATTGCTTTCCCAGCACTTCCAGCCTTCAGGCAAGGAGGAGGATGTCCACGGACTTCCGTGTTGCGATGCTTGCCAGCGTGCGGAACGAGCGCTCGCCCCGTGATGGGGGAACCAACTTCTGTAGACCACCAATTATCAACTACGGCTGCGTTTTTAGCGCAGTATTGAGCCATGAGATGCTGATAACTGTCGATAAGAGTAGGTTCGGAGCGTTCTCCAGCGAGGAAGAGAGCTCGCAAACTCTTGAGAGCACCCCGGTTGCCGTAATCGATGAAGGATTGGTTATTGGGGTCATCGCGCCTGATTGCACGTAGAGCTGTTGGCGCTGTAAACATGGTGTTGACTTTGTACTCTTCAACTATTCTCCAGAACGACGATGCATCAGGGGTGCCGACGGGCTTGCCCTCGTACAAGACAGTTGCAGCTCCCGTGAGGAGTGGGCCGTAGATGATGTACGAGTGACCGACAATCCAGCCAATATCCGATGCCGTAAAAGAAACACACCCAGGTCCGTGGATGTTGAACAGGTAACTTATGGACAGGTGCAGACCGACAGCGTGACCACCAGAATCGCGGAGTACACCCTTTGGGGTTCCAGTGGTGCCTGAAGTGTGGATGATATAAATAGGGTCGGTGCTCTTGACTGGCACACAGTCCGCCTTGATTCCTCGAGATCGGGCACTGTCGACTAACGTGTTCCAGTCGAGCTGACCAGTCTCGTGGTCGAGATTCCAACGGAGCTGATGTCTTTGCCAGACAATAACTTTATGGGGTTTATGACCAGCCAGCCGTATCGCCTCCTCTACCAAGCCTTTGTATGCAATTGGAGGCTTGTTGCCATCGATACCACAAGACGCCGTCAGAATAGCCACAGGACGGCATGAATCGATACGTTGCGCCAGAGCATTAGGGGCAAACCCACCAAACACAATAGAATGGATAGCGCCCAGTCGATTAGCAGCAAGAATACCTATCACGGCAGCGGGAATCGTAGGCACTATTACTCGAGTTAGCTGCCAGCACCACTGTAGGAGGACGATGCATGGTCTACTTACTATACAGCAGGACTACATCGCCCTTCTGTATCCCCTGCTCTCTGAGGGCACCAGCAAGAGTCTCAACTTCGCTGAGAAGCTGGCCGTATGTATATTTTTCCTTTGTGTTTGTCACAGGACTGTCAAAGTAGATTGCGATGGAATCGCCATGCCCATCAAGTACATGTCGATCAACGCAATTGTAACAAGTAGATATCTCGCCGCCTGGAAACCACTCCCAGCTATCATGTGTGACACCATTCTTGAGAGTTTTCTGAGTGAGCTGGATGGTTGAAGAGTATGGTTTATGCCAGTGAAGATGCTCGGCTTGGTGTCTCCAGAAGTCTTCAGGGTTCTCAAGACTATGCCGAAGTACCTCGTCTTGTATGTGTTGATCTTGCTGGTTGTGAGGCATAGCTGGTATTTCGTTCTTACCTTGTATCTTGGGCTCCTTATTCAATGCAGTACTTGGCATGGATGAGTAACTCCGTGATTTTGTCGATGCCAATGGCTTTGGCAGGGAAGGATATCTTGACAACAAATAGCAACCATGACGATTAAAGGGGCATGTCGGAGTGGGAACCGATAAGCTAGGGGGCCGAGTGTATATGATAAATTGAATGGCTTGTCTTAGGTTCAACGGCATCGGACCTCGCTACCGACAAATTCCGGGCCGTCTTTGACGGTGTATAAACAACTCTGCCTGGACGACGATCTCCTCTGCAATAAAACCGCCCAAAGGATGTTTCAAAGGCCCAGCTTGATGAACGATGCCCCGGTGAGGGAGTTTGACTTTGACACATGAAAAGAGATATCAGATCAAAGGAAGTGCTGTTGACTGAGGAGATAGGTGACATGTCATAAGGCGAGGCGACTTCAGTGAAACTATCTTGCGCAATTGGAGACTGGCAGTATCAAGCAACATACAGCGAGGTTATCCACCCCCCCGAAACAAATTCTCATCCTATTCATCAATTGCGGCTCTCCCAGCTTGCTTGGCAGGGCGAGTGTAAATGGTTCGCTGGCTTCATACCAGATGCCTTCCCCGCATTACGCCAAGATGGCCGTCCCATTTGTCCGGTAGACCTTACGGGTAACGGCCGGGTCGGTACAAGACCGATCCGTGATAGTTAATAATTGTCGAGTTCGTTGGTAACTAAACTGTAAAGCTTATTTGGTGGTTTACATCTGAGTCGGTGATATCCCGGATATTCGGAATCACTTAGCTCTGACTGACTACTGTAGCAAGTACACTTGTTCTGTAAACAATTTGACAGGGTGACCCTGACGGTATGCCTCACCGCATCAAAAACTGTTTTTTCTTCACGGAATGTAATCTTTTTGTACGCCAAGAAGATACATATATATTCTAATAATGATACCATCGAAAAAATTAACCGGCGTATTGCTATGTCGCAAGGTGTCTAAGTACATGCTTTCGATAACACTGAAACTCAAATTAACCCCATGAAGCCCTCGTATTACTGGCAGTAACAAAAGCGTGGCTAAGTTATAAGTTAGTAAAATAAGTGAACCAACGTTAGCTTTGTCTCGGCACGTAGCAACTGAAACAAAGATCCAAGACATATTCACAGGGCAAACACGACAACAGAGTTAATGATGCCGGACCAAAACTGGCCTCTCAGCAATGCTTGCTTTTGCCTTGACTATGATACATGGTTTCCCAGAGGCTCGCAATAACATTGAATCTGATTGACATGAGACCATAAACACGCCCGGCTTTGAGTATATATATGCGCCAGTAACCCGACCGCAAATATCAAAGACGTTTGGCAACCCAAAAATATGTATCGAGAAGAGGAAACGGGATTCGAGGTTGGAAATGCGTCTCTTGAAGTTATTGATGGGAGCAGAAACAAAGACGAACCGCGAGTGAAGCTAGACAAGATCGTCCTGTTTTGCTCAAGGCAAAAAAACACATTATATTCCCAGCCCCGAAAGAAGATGTCACACACAGGGAATATGCGAGCTCCTTCCGAACACCGAGACAAAACTCATATACAAGAATGTCTCAACTCCTGCAAAGCGTGGCCATCATTAGACAAGACTCCATAGAGCGTTGCAAGGGTATACCGGTTCTCCCGTGCCGTATGTTCGTAACCCAAAATAAAAAGTTCTATACATTCCCTGAAAGATCGCTTGCATCCCCAACTGAAACCAAACCATCACCAACTGTTCCACACCACTCCATCAGGAGTGACGGAAGCCCCCACGTGAATTAAGTATTACTGAGCGTAAAGCATCGTAGACACGACGTGGAACAGGCTTGCTAGCTGTTGATTTACAGGAAAGCAGCAAGACCGACGACGGCAGCGAGACCGGCACCGGAGAGAGCGGCGACCTTGCCGGCACCAGCGGTGGGGACCTCGGAAGGAGCACCAGCGGTGGGGGTAGCGCCGGGACCAGCAGGAGAGCCAGGCTTGCCGCTCTCACCACCGTGGCCGGGCTTACCGGTAGGGTAAACGGGGACCAGGGTGGAGTTGTTGCCGTGGTGGGCGGGAGGAGCAGGGCTAAGAGACTGTCAGTATGGATGTCTTGACAAGACTGAGGACATTGGATATCGGTAACTTACCAGTCGTGGCAGACGACAGCGGAGGTGGTGATGACGGGCTTGGTGACAGTGCAAGGGCAGTCAGTGATGGTGAGGGTGGTGGCCTCGGTGATAGTGTAGGTCTTGTCGCCGTGGACGATCTCAGTGGGACCGGGGCAGTAGGTGGTGTAGGCAGTGACGACCTCGGTGGTGTAGGTAACGTTCTTGGCGTGGGCAGCGACGCCAGCAGCGAAAGCGAGAGCAGTAGCGAACTTCATTTTGTCGGTTTGTTTGGGGTTGGGATTAAATTAAGGTAACTCGAAAGTTGGTATAGTTTGTAGATGTGCTGTAACGAATGAAATTGACTAAAAGTCAAGGTATAGTAGCAAATGAATGTGTGTGGGTGAAGAAGAAGGAAGGGAAGAGACTCTGAAGATCTGGAGGACTCGAGCTTTATATTAAGATGAGGTCTTCGCTCAACAGGGACTGACTGATAGGGAGGTTGATGAGATTTTGGGTCCGGGGGGTGTGGGTATGCGCGTGGGTGTGGCCCGCTATGAATCAGTAATGGAGGGGCGGGACTTGGAGCGACAGGGGATCTGGGGCATGGGGGGGCCCTTGAGAATAGGTAGGTAGCGATTAATTAAAATCTGTACATACGGTGTACGAGCAGGCCACTCATCCAGTGTCAGAGGCCCCGTGCAAGTCTAGAGCGGACCAGAGTCAGGAAAAGACAAGAAGATAAGCTCATCTAGGCTCAAGTTCCGGTGGCAAACTACCATATATACATACATTCAATGTAATGAGCTCGGCAGCGGGGCCTTAATTCTTTCTCCCAGTCGCCATTATTGAACCATGGTTAGGGGTAGATCCTACCAGGATTGCAAGTGTAGTTGCTGCACTCTTAAGGATATGTACAACCACAAGTTCATGAGTTGTTCTATCTTAGTGGACGCTGGTGTCTGGGCAGCTTCTGGCCGAGGAAAACAACTGACCAAATACAAACAATTAGCCATTCATTAATATCAAGCTTGCAACCAGCAGCTATGTCTTCTACTACTATCCCTAGACCGTATATTTGTACCAATGAGACGAAGCCCCTGTGAGAAAGCTCTTTATCACACCTTTGGTATTACTGTATTGTTCAACAATTCGATAGCCTTTTGAACATCAAGAGGCATTATGAGCCTCATTTAGACAGCGTCGACTGTTGCTCTGTGTGTGTGTGCGAAATCGTGCTTCTGATTGTCACCTAAGAACAGGAAAGGGGTGCTTGTCTAGGTGAGAACGGGCCCTGAGAACGTGTGTGTGGGGAGAGGAGGCCCTTCCACTTTGCCTCGTGCTCTGGTGTGGGAACCCCGGCAAATGGAAATGGATGTCTTGCGCTCTGACGGGTATCATCACCGAGGCAGCTAAAAAAGGAACCAGTCAGTCTTACCAGAAACGAGAGGGGCGAAAGGGACCTGGAAGTCGGCGGACCTTCCGCAGCGCCTACAGATATCTTTAAACCGAAATTACTCCCCCATATCACACCAGAAATAGACAAATAATACCGGGTGATATTGCGAGGAAGAAGATACTGGGTAGTATTGCCATATGCTGATATCGAACTGAGCCTACTGAGGCAAGAGTTTTGCGTCTATAATTATCGTCGGATGAGCCGAAGCGGACCGACGTTCCACGTCGAATATCCTAGTGATATGATTAGAACTCCGGGGTCGCAGTGTCTTTTCTTCTTAGGAGCCAGACTTGCTAGACATGTTAATTCTTGCCAGTTTGAAATAGAAGCATGTTCCAAAAGAGAGTATGGAGTAAGATAGTCATGAACGAGATTGAAATGTAGGCATTGCGAGATAGTCAGAGGTTCCCAGATTTGATCAGAATGATCGATCGACAATTCTCAAGCGCAAGGTATGTGCCTATCGAAGGATTTTCTGTTTCTGAAGATCTCATGATTTGACTTTACAGATAGAATCATGAAGATCAAATGAGAAGCATGGACGGACTGTCGCGTGGGTGTGAGGCAGCCACCCCGTTGCTCTTTGCCAGGTAATGTCCAATAGACTTTGGCCTTCCTATTACGGGCACGTTCACTGGTCGGTTCCCCTGGCATAATGCGACGCTAATGCAGGAACAAATCTCTTCCCGCTGTCTTGCCAATCCCCTTATTCGACTTTTGCAGTATTCACTCCTCCCTGAATCACACGGCTCGAAGAGTCCCCTCCAATGAAACCAACCCATCCTTTATCTGCCTCAACTGTGCTCTCATCTGAAGCTGCAGCGAATATCACCCGTTCATGTAGTAGCGGGAAGCTCATACTTGCCAATCCTGGCAATAATCGCCACCAGCGATGAACTGGCGCCATCATCTGATTGGTCGCATTGATCATGCCATGCCTGAGCTGTGAATCCAATAGCATAGAGTAAACAGACAAGACCACAAGGAGATGGCTCATGGCAATGTCCTCTCCGATATCCATTGGACAGTATCCGCAATGCACCGTGCACCGACTAGTTTGTCTTGGACTCTCCAGTGGCAGAGTGGGCAATCATCCACGCGGTAGTCAATGGCTTTTTTGAATGGGTTCCGGCACACATGTATGTATGTACCTTATAGCAAGGGGTTAGGAGACTTGGGGGCGGTCTAAGCTAGAGCCTAGGGGGCCGGAACATTAAACAGAGTTCTCACTGAGCCCAAGCAACGGTAAACACATGGCTGCCAACGCTACACCGATAGCCTGTTCAAGCAGCACAGTTACTCAAGGCTCCTCATATGGTCGGGTCACACAGAAGTTGTTGAGAAACAAAGCGGCCATGTTCTAGCTGTCCATTCAAAGTCCCAGAAGTGGACTAGATCCTGAGTTGGCAACGGCCTCGAAGTCTGTCGACTTTCCTCTTCAGGCTGCTCCGTGTTGTCCCTGATGAGTGCTTCAAAACAGTCGGATCCGTCTGGCGGTCGGGTCTTGACACCCACCCATACAAGCTCCCTTGTCATGTCAGATCTAGGTAGCCTGGTACCAACCTACTTACCTACCAGTCTCTGTGTAGTACTTGCTGATCCCTTTCCAGTGAGCAAACCAAGATCAGTCAGCGAGATATCACCACGGATAAAGTACTGGTGATAAGGCGACTCGACGGCTCTGTCTGTTAGCAACCCTCCATAATTTCCCTTTGAACCACTAAAACATAGTTTAGCTATCAGACAGCCTGGACATCTTTGATATCTCGCTGCCTTATCTTTGATTGAAGATGAGGGCCTGTCCATTCCCCTGGCTTTTATTAAGCCAGTTAACATTGACTTCAATCGAGGCGAACCCCTGATACAAGGCGAGGCGAATCGGTTCCAAACTGAGTATCGAAAGCACCACCACTGTCTCGTATTTTCCCCATCAACCTCTTTCGAGTCATGGATTCTCGATGGGGCCTCTCGGTTCGGTAGCTCTGTCTTGTCTTAGTTTCGATTATCACTCTGGTAAGTTTAGATGGCGACCCACGTCTCAAGTCCACAGAAATGAGATTCATCGCCCAGGGGTTATCGGGTACTGTAGTCTTCTGATGGTCAACGACAAGCTTTTGGCCGCTTTCTAGTCTAAGAAAGCTGGCGAGGCCAGGTTCTCTGATCGATGCGATCCGAGGCGTGCCATGGAGGAATCGAAAGCTTGGCATACGATCAGTTCCTGCATCTTCAACAAACGCAGCGGATGTAGCCTATTGCTAGGTATACCTACAGCATGTAGGTTTGCTGGCCCGAAACTCTCTTTGATCAAGCTTCTTTTCTCAAGCTCCAATCTCATGCCCGAGTCTTTGCCTACATTTTCCCAAATGGTGTGCCAAGATTTTTCACCATCCCTTTACGTCTTTTCCCGCTCACACTCCAAGCAAGGCGCTGGATCTCCCGCAAGCCTCTCAAGCCCACTTCCAATATCGAGTGAGACGTATTAAGATGCTTGTCAGTGGCAAAGTTTCTGGCCACCCAAATCTGCTTGGCTCCATTACAATATTCGGAAAAGGTATACGGATACCCGGACTTCATTTCCACCACTTGTCTTGGTCGTCAGATCATCCATGTCGGGTGCTTCATTCTAACTGTTTGATTTATTCCAATGTAACGCTTGCTACGTTGGCTTGACCAGATTGGTGGTTTTGCATGTTGAAAATTTCAATTTGTATAGATTTAGCACTTACAAACAAACACCAAGGCTGTTTTGTTGTTCTGTTGTTTTGTTGATGTTGACGCGTATTATTCGCCTGATTTGTATTATATTACTCGCCCAGACAACCAGGAAGACCTCATTTGCTAGGTCCACTCAGTAGTCGGTACTCAATTAACTAGTCCATAGAATATAGAACCAAAACGCGGACCGTCCAAGTGTCGACTTCTGATTAACTAACAGTAGTTTAATTGCACTCGATCGATAATTTGGCTTGCTAATTTGCCGTCGCCGGGACTTTTGGCCCAGAATCGAAGTGCTGAAGAGGACCCAAAGCCAGGCAAGTCGCTCTTCATCCAATGGCTTGGTAGCTGGTCTCTACTAGTTAGCTGTTGAACCACTATCGGATTATGCCCTGATGGTGACTAACGGCTAGACGATATTACTTGTTGCCGAGTCTCCGGGTGGCATGACTGCCATGATCAGGTATCGTTGAAGTATTGACAAATGCGTTGATCTGCTATCTACTCCGTAATACCGTATGTATCTTAATCAAGTGAACCCGTCTCTGGTGGATTCGGAGGTTGGAAGCGTGGTCTTGTCTGCATAAAGGTTGTATGAATGTTGGAGAAGAAATTGGGCTGAAAGGTCTTATCATGTGGCCTATTCCTGCTCAAGCTGAGCATTGTCGCTTTCCATTTCGCTTTAAATATTATATTTGAAAGCTGCAACATGTTCGACTGACATCCTCATCCTTTATGAATTGATGCATAGCTTAGCTGAGATTAGATCCCTCTCCTGGTGGTGGATCCTCATGGACTGATTGATTGACTATTCCTACAGTAAGGACTCCGGCGCAACAACAAACTGCTTCTGTGGTCGAATTAAAACACGAAACTATTAGTTCGGCCTCCGACCATCCTTTAGTACAGTTCAATCAAACATTTTGGATCAACCTTTATTACACACTTTGAGGTCCCAATCGAGTTTGCTGCCAGCGGACGTCGTCGTTAACACATAACCTCTCACATATGTCTGTTTACGGAAATATGTCTTAATGTTATGTATTCTACTTACAATGGGTCGGTCCCTCTTATGGAGCCCTTCCCGGCCGAAAGTTCGGCGGA